CTTGCACACCGATGATTGCTGAGATCCTCCTTCCTCTTCCGCTCTTTCTTTTTAATGTGCATTCTCACTTTGCTATTATTATATTATTTATTTATGTTATTTATTTATGTTATTTATTTATATTGTTCATCTAGAGATTGCCAATTACTAAACCATGGCATTGCAATTGCTATTTTAATATATAATTTTTAATCGCTAAATGTGCCACACCCATTGACTCATTGACTCATTGACTCTCTCAAACTTGTGTTACATACATATATTAATTATTTGTTTACGGATGAGTGGCTTATACCGAACTAATCTCTATTTAATTAATATTAATAGATTGAATTACTGCGTCATTACCCTTTCCCATACATACACGCTATTGACCGAGAACGTTGATCATTCCATATCACTATAGAGGGTTACGAAAAAAAAAATATTCACTATAATGAGATTTCTAATGCCATGAATGATTTTTAACGAGACGAGCCTAATAAAATAAATTAATCAAATTAGGATTAATTTGAAAGACAAGGTTAAGGAGGGTCAAAGAGTTTTTAGTTTTTGGTAGTAGGTTAGCGCAAGTTGTACGCGCGTGAACCAAAATAAAAGTTGCTCGCATAATGTTACAACTTTTGCTTATAATATTTCCATAAAAATGCTATCATGTGTAAAATAAGCAATTTTATAATGGTTTATAAGCGGTTTATAATGGTGATAATTGGTAATATTGGTGATAATTAATACATAAGCTGAAATTTTTTAATTTTATACATTTTGGGGAAAAAAGATTTTTTTTTTTTTTAACAATGGATATTCTCCGCACTCTCTCTACATATATATCTATATATGTATATATATAGACATAATAGCAGCAGTCATAATGACACACAATGTATTAAAAAGTTATAAAATTGCAAATGTGTTATATATTTGTAACTTTTGGGAAAGAGCTTTTCAATTCAATAAGAGTTAGTTAATATTTTTGTGTTACAAAACTACTTGTAAAAAAATTTTTTTTTTAAATATATATATATATATATATATATGAAACTATACAAACCTTTGCTTGATTTAACAAAAGACATAAGTTCAAATAATAAATTTATTAAGCTTAACAATAAATACATGTAAATACAGATTCTTTATGGTTGACTATGTAAATACAAAAGTATACTTGTTGGTTATCCCAGGAATATTTTTAAAAGTTAATTATTAAAGAGTTGTTAAGCCCTCGTTCAATTTTCTTTTACAATCAAATACTAAGCTTAT